AGACTATAAAAGGACTGCTTGTGCACACGCCCCTTTTGCAGGAGTCAACACATTCACTAATGTTGGAGAACTAACTTGGCAGGCTGGATTGCTGCCAAGGCTTGTCTGTCTGTTAATAAATTCTGTAAAGTATCTTTGGCTCGGTGTGCTTTGGTGTGGGACGAGGGGGGTCACAACAGTATCCATGATTCTTGTATTACAGATGATGGGCAGAGAGGGAAGAAGAAGAGCAAAAAAACTAATTTTTATATTGCCCAACAGAAGATGGCAGAGATGAAGTCTTAATTGAATCTGGAGGCTTCTTGAATTGTGACCCATTCTCTGAGTTAACTTCATTAGTCTGCGCCAAATACAAGAAATTCTGCTACAACTTGCCTTTATATATTCACAATTCTTTCAATCAGGGTTTTTTTTTTTTTGAAAGCCTTACCTTTCTTTGAATAATCAGGATTTCTGTTCAGATTCTTGAAACTTTAAATTAAAAATAGAACTAGATTTGGTTCGGCTCTTACGCTGATTTTAAGTTATGTGCCTTTTGAGCTCTGGGCTGTAACTGGAGCTGTATAGCAGGGCTGTAAAAGCCTAATGGGACTTTAAATGTTTGAATTTCTCAGTATGCCATTAACATTTTCATTCATTTAAGTAGGCCAAATGGCTTACTTGGTGTACCAGAACAACTGTTCCCCCTTGTTCCTCCTTCAAGTTGTTTGCCTAGTTTCACGTACATACCATATCACAGTGAGTCCATTTGGGCATCTTCAAGATGAACAGCGATATAAAATAATAAAAATCCCAATAATTATTATTATAAAAATACAATAATAAACACTCCATACTGTAATAGCTCGGTTTTATATAGTTCTGCGGTCACAATGTAAATTCTCTCCATAAATACCAAGTCTCATTTACTGAATCAGCACTGCATTCTATAATAGTGCAAAGTTACAGGTTTTTTTTTAAAATTCTAGCCACCTAATTTCAGGGATACATTTAACTACCCTAGAAGAGACTGAACTAAATTTAATACTTATTTTTTAGTTGGTTTTTCTTCGAGAGAGTTCGTATGGGCGAGGAATTTGTGAATAAAATTATTGGTTATGTTTTTCATACAGGTTTCTGGTTACTGTTAATTTTATTTGTTCAAATTTTGTCTCCTGATCTGTGAGCCATTGGAAGAATTCCTAGAAAGTTGTGTGTAGAGTCCAGTGGTGGGATTCAAATAATTTACCAACCAGTTCTCTGCCCTAATAACCAGCTGGGTAGGCAGGGCTCGGTGGTCATGTGATCATGTGGGCGTGGCCAAGTCGATGTCACTCAGGTCGATGGGCGCTTCGCCTTAGTTGTTACAATGGTAATAAGGGTTAACCGGA